ATGCTACAGGAAGCAGGGAGATGTAGTGTGCGGCGAGCTCGTCCTGACAGTTGATTAGTCTCCATTAGTTTGTCAGGCGGACGGGGCTGGATGGATGAAGGAGCCGAGGAACGTCCGGGGGCCGAGCATCCTACGGGACCTGACACGGGGGCCGGGGCGCAGAGAGGGAGCTGATGGGAAAACGGTGCCTCGCTTTTGTGTGCGCCTGGCTCACGGCCATATTATTGTTATTATTATTATCTCCAAGTCGACTCCATCGTGGTGGGGGTCAGTACTTAGAGTAATCAGTTTCCTTTCTGTCACTGACAGGGTGCCTCCAGTTTGTTTTTCTATGTGTGTGTGTGCATTAAGTTTACACAACATGTATATACGCGTGCCCCCCAGTGTGTGAATAATTTTGCAGCATCAGCAGTTTTTCAGGTTGAAGGGTTGGTGTGTAATTACCTCGTAGCTGGTTGTAAGTGAAGGTAATGATTCATGTGTCAGGCCTTTTTTCCTGCAGGAAACCCGTGAAATATTTAAAGCGAGTCAAAGATTATGAATAAGAAACCAGTTTCTGGTTCTGAGGAGCTGCAGGGCCGGGTCATAAATACACACCGCTCGTTTATTTACTCCATATATTGGGTCGTTACCTTTAGTTTACTCTGCTGCTGCGCTGCTTTAAAACAAACTGGTTGAAGTTTAAATAGCAGGATCGTCTCCTGAGACTTTCTGAGTGACGTTTACATGTTCTCCCCGTGCAGGAGTGGGTTTTCTCCAAGCAAATTCAAATGAAACTCTCAAACAATGATCAGTTTAAGTATTTCAGAATGGAACCAGGGGCGGAGCCAGAGGGGTGACCAGGGTGGCAAGTGCCTCCCCGGCACCTGTTTGGACACCCCAGGTACCACCCCCAGAATGATCGATGAGAACGTTATTTTGCTAGCCGGAGTAGTTTTCAGAATGTCAAACCAAAAAATCAGCTCAACATTTCTTAGTCTTAGCCGTTTGAAATTAGATTTGGCGGCCATCTTGGATTTTGTATTTAAAATCAGATTTTGTAAAAGATTCTTTCGCAGTGTGTTACTACTACGCTAATTTTCACGCATTTAAAAATGGCTAAAATGTAGGCCGTTCTGAGATGAGCATTAGCAGTTAGCTGAGATTAACAATTAGCATATATTTTTAATCATTCTCGGCTACAATCACACATAATTTCAGCTAAATGTTTCTCATAACAGCCGAAGCCATTTGATGTGAGCTTTGGCAGCCATCTTGAATTTTCAAATCCAGAGTTGCTTTATTTATTTGTRTRCCCCCCCCCCCCMCCCCCATGCAAAAATGTCTAGCTCCACCCCTGAATGGAACGCAGACTTTGCTGTTGGTTCTCATATTATGATGTCATCATCCTGAGACAAAAGCAACCGCTAATGCTAAGGCATTAAGTTGCATTCTGCACCTTAGTCATTTTATTTAAAAGAAGACAAAATTTTGGTGATCAGATCACCTCACTTCTTTAATATCATGCAGCCGGACTGTGGACTTTTAT